CCAGTGATGCTCAACTTTCCTCTGTCCCCCTTCCCCCAATTGCATTTCAGCTGAGATGATGAGACGCAACCGATACCTTTGCTTTAGCATTTCAAAGCTGTCAGAGTGGACAGAAAAATAATGACGAACACCGGCTCAAAGGAAAATACTACTCTTTGCCTCTTCAAGGTCTGCATTCATACTGTGTAATGTTTATCATCTATGACTACATTATGATGATGTTCATTTTGGACATGATACACTGCAGTGAGGACCTTTTCCTGTTTCATACAGATTTAAAAGTACATATTAATAAGAGTAATTTTGAGAAAGCTTGGCAAGTGGCACCAATAGCCAGAGGGAATCTCAAACAAATAGACTGCCACATATTCGCACTTGCCGATCATAGCCATAAGTTTGTGAACAGTATGGGGGCTCTTCAACCTGTAATACTGAAGATGTATACCTTTGTAATACAAATGTATATTATTAACGCATCAATAAATATATAGATTAGACAAAAAAGTAGCAAATTTAAAGAGTGTCACTGTTCAACTTTTTTCAAACAGATACGATATCATGATGGAATGCTGGAAGACTGACCCCTTACAGAGGCCAGACTTCGAAGGTTTACGGTCACTAATGCAAAACATGATCAAGGAGGAAGAACAGGTTTGAACTGTAATGTTTCTTAGAAGAGCTTAGGCCTGTCAATGTGAGAGATATCTCTTTCAGTCTTTATGTTCAAAATAGTTTATTTTCAGTACTGTCAGAGCCATCACGATCATCATTTGAACAGCATTGTGGCTTACTATCTAGTTAAGGTTTTGATAAACGTGACTGTATTTGTATTAAATTGTTTCTTTCTATTTTCTTACATTTAGGAATGTCAGCTTGGAGGGGCTGTTTTATGAAAATGTGCTACCAACCAGTCTTTCTGGGGAGCGGTTAGCATAAAAGTTGAGCTACATCTAACGAAAGTAATACAGACATAGTTAGTGGGCGTATGTTACTACTTTAACCGTTAAAACGGTTGCACGGGATGAATTAAAGAGATTTACCGGGAATAGCTTTCACAACTTCTCATCGAATCTTAGATGTGGTTTTAAGTAGTTTATCAGAGGATGCAGACGGTATCTTTATACCAAAAAATATCTTTGTCTATTATGGAAACGAAATGGCATGAACAAAAACGATTATATTGTTTAATCAATAAAGACTAAGTTGTAAACCGCTACCTCTAAAAATAAATTCGGCACGCAACTCTGAAGCTTTCTTTATTTCCTGTTTGAATGTTTGGGGGAAATCCTGGTCATGGCATCCATGCCAATAAGTAAAGGGTTGAGCCTGGTGCCATATGACTGCTCACACACTATTGGGAGAAATCCGCACAATTCTACATAAGTATGATGCACGATCCTTCGCAGTAGATATTTAATACCGCAGTTCAAAATATATGAACTTCATATATCCATTGTATCTAATTCTACCTAAGTAAGTCATAATCTGAAAGTCACCCACATAGCTTAAAGGACCCAGAGATACATTGGTAATTAGCCCTCATCTACCCCGATTTACCACAATACCCCAGAACACCTCTGTCTTTTACCTTCTCCAAATAATTTACTCGTTGAAATCGGACGAAAAATGAGGCGTCAGATCTGTCAGTTTCCTTATCTATTAAATGGTTCATCCTATAAATTGTTGAAAATATCTGAAAATAAAATTTGTTCCAGTTATTGTCGAAAATCAGGGGCAGGCTTCATAAATGAGTTGAAAGGGAATGCCTATCGTAGATTTGTACACTTTCAAACTCAAGGAGTTGGCTTTGAAAAATATTGCGACTCTTAAAACCATTCAGGAAAGATTAATTGACGCTTGCAACTGAACTTCTAGGCACTCTTGATATTATCTCTAACGATTCAAAATTAACTGCGTCACCTCGCTATATTTACGCGGGTCGTCAGCCCAGAAGTGACTCTTAGAAAGCTTACTTTAATGCTTAGTAGAGACTTAAAAGTTTTAAAAGCTACTAAACAGTAGCATTAAGACCTGCGCTTTTTCTTGTTGTTGTTTTCTCTTTTACCTCGAAGCCTTCCACAAGGGGGAAAGTAGGTCTGTGGCTTTACGTAACTTGTCATATGGATATTATTTATTATGCTACCCAAACTTCCATTAACAATATCGTTCACGCTGGTTTAAGTGAAATGACTACCCACAAATCGACACTGATAAAACCAGGTCGTGTACGAGGCAGAGGGGGGTCGGAAATGTCGATCAAGCAAATGTACAATTGAGGGACCTTTCAGGCATATTTTTGAAGAGGTGATAAGCAAACAGGGTGTGATCTGTTACTCTGGTTGCTTTCGATACTGCTAACATTGAGTCTAAATCAAGTAGCAAGTGTATAAGGGAGATTGGGTGTCCTTGTCGTACCATGAAAATCTACATCAACTTCCTCAATGGTCAGCAAATTATTAACCTGACTGACAAACTCTGTAATCGCTACTTAAAGATTTCATGAAATGAAGAACTTTAGCTTTTCGGATATTTGTATGTAAAGCCAACAAGAATGTTCGTTGTTATTGCTGATGGCGTGTAAGGCCATAATACGCAGAATATAGGATGCAGGAATCAACTCCAGTTACGCCTGTTGGCGGCACTGGAGCGACAGGCGCCTTTCGAACAATTGTTTTGATTCTCTCCGTAGCGCGTACATATTAAAAAGAATGTAAATAGGCTGCTCGCATTTAGTAGTGGTTTCATTGGGAAGCACCAATAAACATGTTATTCTAGCGCCCGCTACGGTTTGAACGGACGCCGCTGTTCTGATTCTTGCAATAGAACCTTGTTCCATTCTATCTGTCAGCGAAAAGTTAGGAGCTACGTACTCATAAAGAAAGGGATTCTTCATTCAATAATGATCTTTTGCGACAACTAGAACAACAGCTGTTTGTGATCCACGTGTTACTCTTCCGCCTTTTGAGATGAGTCATGGGACGTCACACATGTGCAAGCAAGGTTGCTGGTTTGTTTTTTAATATGGCAGCTTTTATTGTCAAATTTTTAGCATATCTCTAGGTAATTTTTTTACGGTTTGGCTACCTTTTGAGGTAAGATTTCCATATAAATTTTTGAATGGCAGAAACAAACATGATATCGTGTATCTTACAAAAGATTATCCATAGTGGTTGTGAGCCCTTGAACGCGGATGATGATTAATGTAAGGCTGGGAATTGACTTCTTGTATTAATTCATAGTACTGGGGTCCACTTCCAGGAAAATTTTGACAATGCTTTTTTTATTCATTTCTTTTTACAAGCACTTGCACACTTTTATAAAAGGTTTGTTCAAGTTGTATTTTGACATCTTATTCAATGATAAAAAGTGTTCGTGTGACAAAGCTATGAAAGGATTATTCCTGCATGCTACCGTAATTAAAAATGTTGGATGATACATAGAGGAGATCTTGGAAAAGAAAACTGAGAGGTACTTAGAACTTGGCAGGTTATAAAACTTTTTTCTTTTTGTTGTGATTACAAAACGATAAACCTTGCATAGGCATTCGTCTGATAGCAGGTGCTTATTTTGATCATCAACTCATGGGGTTGCTAGGAGTTATCGAACACTGTAGAAGTACTCCAAACTGACTTCAGCAAATCATACTCTTCCGAAGCTGTATCCGTAAAGAACAGAAATATTTCAAAACGGATGCCCTGCTTTTCCAAGGTTAGCAAAAGTTTTGGCGAACTTATAGCTTCTATGAAAAGAATATGGATGGAAAGTAATGAAAATGGGAGATCGAAGGATGTTTCCACGCGTTTTGGAAGATAAGAATAATTTCACTCGAAACGCATTATAGAAACTGAGAGTGCATAAAGCATCTATGTTGTTCCACCATGAATTTTCACGTATTTGTATCTACATCGGAATCTGATAATTTTTCTTGGTATTGGGCCTCTTAGTTTAGATCTAAGGAAGTGCGACTAGTTACTATGAAACTTTATTTCAATTGGCTTGGTCAATGTAGTTGATAATACTTTAACTTCAATATCGCTCACTAGGAATACCCTCACCCCTTTCTCAAACAGGAATCCATTGGGTCACCGCGTCTCTCGCGACTTAACCCCTCCTCCCCTTTATCAATAACTTATTGTTGCTGATTGGACTCCAACGCTTAATGATTTGGTCCCGAGGATTCTTGGACCTGGCGATTGCGTACAGTAGAAAGACCTAGATCTAATTCGTTAAATTTAAGGTAGCTGTCAGCTTGAAAATGGTGCACATTGCTGAAATGCCAAGGGCTGAAATTAACTCAGTTTTTCAACTATAAATTAAGAATGAGGTCATTGTTACCTGTGATTTAAACCATAGTGGAGAGGTCTGGTTTTTAGTAACTTGCAATTGGACAAAGCTGTCATTAACACCAAATTCGGCACAAACCTTCACGGCGGAAAAAGCAGTATTTGGGGAATTAAAAGCGAATAAATCTTGGCAGTTGAGGATTAATCTAATCTTGCATGTTTAAATGGTCAGTATGACCGAGTTACTCGTTGCAAAAAGAAGCAAAAATTAAAACATTTTTTAGACGGAAGCAATGCAAGGATATATTCGAGGTCGTTTGTTAAACAGTCTATCGCAGGAAAAATGTCACGCCACGCGACGCACTTTCTTCCCCGTTGCGCAGAGACAAGGACTGTGAACACTACTTTAAGAACTACTCAACGGTAAAGAACATTCACCTTGTCTTGTATAGTCGAACCGAGAGCCCTTAAACCCGTAATGAGGAACTGAGAATCTCATACTAGTGGTAATACTTTTATGGCAGTGCTCCAACCCTCCTCAAGAAAGAAAGAGGAAAACAAAACAGCAAAAGAATGGCAAACCGGCTGGTCTCGATGAAGCTAACGTATACACAAAAATAGCCGTAACGAGATTGGGAAGTATTGTGGATGCTATAAGTCTCAACCTTGTTCCTTCGAGGCACCAGTAATTGAAGACAAGTCGATTCATAGTTGCGAAATTTGAATTATTTATTTCATATGTTTAGTTTCTCTATGTCAAATGTAAAAATACAGTCATTTCTTGGCATTATAATAAGCAAAGCCAACTTTCGTACAAATATAGCAAATTGTTTTTCTTAAATCACTCTTTACAGAAGTGACCAATTTCACTTAAGCAAGATAAAAATTGTACGAGTAGTCTATTGCGGAACCATATTTGAAACTTGCAAAATTCTGTTATCATGAAAATTATCATTTAAACTCTATATAAAAAATACAAAACAATAACTCGCTATCGTCGTCATTGACAATAACTAATCAACCTCTCACGATTGTATGTTCTATATAATTAAGGGTATTAAATTATAAGATACTTAAGTAGCCTGCCTATAGCGGAACCATATTTGAAACTTACAAAATCATAGGCTATCATAATGAGAATTATCATTTAAACTCTAAAAAAACTTCAAAACAATAACTCACTATTGTCGTCATTGTCAAAAACTAATCAATCTCTCACGATTGTATTTTCGAAATAGACTTGAGAATAAAAATGTCAATTCACAATTACCTCTTTGTAAATCTACAAAAAACGATTATATACCTAAAATCTAATATCCAAACTAATTTTATTAGGGGCGCTCATGACTGATAAAAAGATAGCTTATTTTGGTAAAACGTGCACTTGCTTTAATGAGAATAAAGCGACTACACTCATATATTTAATTTGTTTTACTGTTTGATAGTTTGACTGAGTTGAACTCTAGGACAAAGTCTTTTCTCTCGTATGAAACAGTCACTAACCTCAGGCCTCAAGCTCTGGATAGGTAAACAGAAATGGAAAATTTCAGTAATAAGATAGTAAGGGATTCTCTACTACAATTTGTTCAACTCTTCGACGTTATTTTCAAAGTTCCGCAAGGAAACAAAAACACTCGACATGATCAATTTTTATAGTCAACTATGTATCAAATTAAATCATGTGGTATTTTTTTCTTAAACTTAAAACTGATACTTATAAAATAATAAGGACAATGCGGTAACTGAATGAGGCTGAGCACAAGTTTTCCTAACAGAATTTCACTGCAGCATAGTCCAAACTATGAAAGTTGCATAAGATAAAGAAAAACTAAAAAAAGAAAGAGAGCAAAAGATTAGAATATCTATCACTTAGATACTTTGCGAAGGTTTGTGTGCATCACGTTACTGCACTTCAAAGTCAGCCAAGTGTAAAAGATCAGGGTTTTGTGGCTTTGGAAAACACTCACATACTCTGCATATTAGAATACGTCACATCTCCTTTAGAAACGTTAGCATATGTAGGATCAGGCTGAGGGACACCAAACTGTGTTATGTCAGCGTAATCAGTTCCTTCGTAGGCTGGAGGACGAACAACAGCTCCTGCTGCAGTGGCACCAGATGGTCCAGGGACAAGTCCCACTCTCAAATCTTCCAAATCGGCATAATCAAGCTCTCCGGGTCTCTGTCGTAGGGAAAACATGATTCGAATATTACTTTCCATTAACTTCAATTTACAGTACCGAAATTAGTAACTCGTTGAAAACTTGTCCACAGCTCTAATATCCTACGATATATTACGTTACTGACCTGACACCGCACGATATCATGGTCACTTCCACTAAATTAATGTCCCGGTACAATTGATACGAACGAGGTTTAAAAAGTAAAAGACAAAGCTGGGAATTTAAAGTTTAGCTGGTGTTTTCCAATCAGAAAAAAGAGTGAAAACCTTTGACAACAACGCCACTAAACAACAACGTAACTATGGAGATAATGGCAAATGCTTTAGATGGAGCATTATGCCTCCAAACAAATGGTTGCTCGTTCGCAGTAGAAAAGGATAATAATCAGATTATGATAACAGGAGTTTATATCATTTCAGAAGCAAGTAAGGGGTGAAAACCCATGCAGAACCATCGGACGCTTTATCGATACGACCTCTCTCCCAGCAGGAAAATGAAGAATGGGTTCTGAATTAAAATATCAGAATTTATCAGCAAGGTCCGCAGAGAACTGAAGAATGTATGCGGCGAGTAAATGTGAGATGAAACTACACTTTTAAGCCGAACAAAGGTTATCTTTTTCTCGAGAAAGATTAGCACGGAGAGCCTTTACCCGGCTGAAATCAATTCAGCCGAAGAAACAGCTAGTATTACGTTAAAAAGAAAAAGAAAAGATATTCAAATTATAGCAACAATGAGAAACACCTTTCTCGATGTCATCGCTACCTTAGTCCTCTTCGTCTTTTTCGATTTGTCTACCTGGGCATATTCATCATTTGGTGCTGGTCGTCTGTTCTTCTTCTTTTTAGTCATATCCACTTGTGCATAGTTAGCCTCAGCCTCAGGACCCGAGGCTTGACGACTGTGAGCAGCTTCAGCTCTACTAACTTCCTGAAATCCATCATCAGCTTCATAATGATTTGCACTATCCCTTGTAATCAAATCAAAACCAAAACCGTTTTGTCTTCTCCATTATTCTGATCTGTTTAGTGCCGAGCAAAAGTTATACAATTACTCATCGTCCGTAACATGTAAAAAGACAGAGAGAATTATCGAAACTGTGGTTCAGTTGGTCAGCTTAATCGGAGAAATCATTCTTCTACACTATGTTCTAGGGAATAAATAAATTGTTTTTCAGCCGCAGGATGTTTTCATGCGAATTCCCCTACTCTTCCCCCCTTCCCGCCGCTCTCAACAACAAGTAGGTAAACGGTTCAGGGGCCGACTACTGTGGTAAAGTAGCGTTAAAAACACGTTGTTCCAGTACTTACAGTCTATCCATTGACACTTCATCTAGAATAAAATTAGACAATTAATAGATAAATAAATATATAACTATATCAATGGATAATTATACAAACCATCAGTTTATTTATTAAAAACGGGAATAAACACGAAACCCATTACCACATATATTTGGTAACAGAGAGGGGCTGACGCCACAGAACTGGTCAGTTAATAAGAAAATTTGTGTTATCCCAAAATACCCTAAATATCAAGAATCCAAATTAAGATTTGTTATGATCACGTTCGTCATGGTCTATTTCCTTTTTGTTTCTCTGTAAGCGGGCATCTACCCTATTATTCTTTGGTATCCGCTTCTGGGAATTACTCTCGTAGGCGCACTGCTCTACTAATGGATACTTTTTTCCAATTCTTGAGGGTGTCCGCTTACGAGGGAAATAGGATTTACGACAAAAAAAGTAGTCTTAAGCTTAAACACCTAAACTCACATTCCCTCAAGATTTTTCGTTTCATCTTTAAGTTTCAGTCAGAAATTTGTTTTTCATTCGTGTGGCAGGCAAATGGTATTGAAGTGAGGTATAATTTTAATTCGAAAAATGCGATTGCTCTGCAATTCCGTTGTTTCAGCACTCGCAAATAATTGCCTGCTGTTCCAGTGCTTTTACAAATTCTCTGAAGCATAAAATTGGGAAAATTTGAAACAATGTCGAAACAACGACCCTCGATCATCGCCAGCCGCTTTCCATGCCATAGAGTACATTTATACTTTGACTCACAGAAATACAACGAAGAGTTAATCAAAGTCTCCCCTATCAAACAAAGCAAAAACTTCTTTTCCATAATGAAGTGTCTCTCACAAGTAGGCTTAAGTTTTCTGTTTTGTCCAACACAACAATGTTAACTTGCACGGCACTCAGAGAAAACTTTGAAGGTACATGAACTGTTAGTTACTTTACCATTTTCGTAAATTGAAGACTTCCTTCGTCTCCAAAGAATAATGATGACGATTACACCAATAATAAGCAAAACACCGGCCACAGCTGCTCCAGAAAATATTGCATTGTTCACTCCATTGTCTACAACAGTCCGGGAACCCTTAGTGGGACCTGGCACTACATCGAACGAAAAAGTTAGACAATTCAGCTCTTTCTAAGCCGTAATGGCTGTTATTTTGTATCGTGTCTACATTCGGTTGGGGATATTTAAATAAAAGAAATTACGTTTTTTTCTATTATTGGTTGCTTCATTGTAACAAGCGCACAAATCGTCACGCGCAAGCAACCAAATCATTGATCCTCGTCTTCTTATTTTCTAAATCCCTCTGGAAAATGAGAACCTCTCGTGGAATTGAACACAGAAAAAAAATTCAATTTCAAAAGGAGTAAGTTTACAAATTGTCTTGTTAATGGAGATGAAGCAACAAAACAAACTTTGAAAAAATCCTGTTCGTTCATGAGCTGAGTTGGCACACAAGTATTAACAGCGAGGTACGTGACATTTTTCTTATTAATTCGCCATGTTTTGGCAACGAAGGGTTCACCCGTAAAAGAGTGGATGTCATTGAGAGTGCTTAAATATTAAGCAAGGGAAAGGACAACAATTGTCGAAAGGGGAAAATAAATTCATTTGGACATACTTCCTTCGGCCTCGACTTGCTGGATATCTGCTTTATCTTGTTTTAGGCTTTCACCCAGCTCATTAGTTGCAGTAATGGCAAACTGATACACCTTTCCTCTCTCCAACGTTATTTTCAATTCTCTAACGGAAACATCTGTGATATTTCCCACTTCTGTCCACTGTCCCACGTTCCCATCAGTCACAACTCTTTGGTACACTGTATACATGGTGATAACTTTTCCATTATTTTCTGGTTTCTTCCATTTCAGAGTAATCGTATCGTCTGCTATTTCACTAGACAGGTCGCCTATTTTCACCACATCAGGAGCTCCTACATTAATATCAACAACAAGAACAGTAAGGGACATTTTTTTTATAATCATGCAACTTTTCGTTACAAAACTTGTAACTGCTCCCAATTGAACCCCAAATTGTAATTGCTGGAACCCCAATTGTAATTGTGGAACTGAATCCCAAATTGTAATTGTGGAACTGGTTAAGAATTTATCACAGCATAGGACTCCTTGAAAATTTATCTCGAGAAATCAAATGCGACTGACCTGTTCGGTCAGTAAAAAAATTAGCAAAACTGCAATCGGCGAGATGCTAGCGGGGCAGTAAAAACGCGAGGGGGGGTTGGGTCAGGTCAGGTAAATTTGAGATTCTTCTTTCCATAAATGGGTCATAAATGAATATTATCATGGCTCCAACTTTTGTCTCGTCACATAAAAGATTGTCAACTCCGTGGGGGTGGTTGTTAAGAGATGATTGCTATTTCAATGAAATCCCACTGATGAATTCTTGTCTACAGATGTGATGGTCACAAAGTAGAGTTTGATTATCTTTTTGCTATAATGAATGACGATGAAAATACATTTTCAAACAACGAATGTCTAAAGAAGCTATAAATTGTTTGTGTTTCAGTGAAGTTTATTCGACCGCAAAAAGGGGCCTCCCAAGATGTTACATTTGCAACCCTGCCACCAACCTCACCCTGAGACCTCTCTATGAGAACTTGTGGGTTTTCGTTTGCTGAATGCTAGTTAAAAGGTACGGGTAAGCACGTGTCGCGAGTTAAACAAGTAGCCGAACCTTAAAATGTGTATACAAGAGACCAGCGAAGTACTTAATCGTATACTATTTACTCTCTACGGTGCACATTCGTACTAGACAGAACGAGGGCAGAACATCTCTACAAAAACGAATTTTGATTGACAAAAGACAATGCAATGTAACGAAAGTAGGTATATTTATGTTCTTTCACTCTGAAGAAGTTCTTGTCTTCGACACGAAGTTATTTCGAAGGCAGAATGCTCCTTAGATTTCTGGTCCTACAATCAACACATTGCGTGATTTTATGTCTTCAGCGTGTTATTTTGAAAAGTTTCCAACGTTGCTAGAAAGCATTTGAATCCGTGTGCCTTAGTGCCAACCGATTCTCAATTGCGTTGGAAAATAAAATTCACATTTTAATTTTTTTTGGTCGTTTTTCTTTGCGCTGTTAAAAACGAAATTGGAATTCCGTTCTCGTTTTTCATTCCTTCTTAGCCGATGGAGAAACGGCGTTCAAATACACTTTATGCTCTTCCTCTTTCTTTTTCTGTAGCTCTTAAGAAAACATGTAATAATTTTCTTTTTGCGTTTTTGTTTTTCGTTTTCGTATAGAATTTGGAAAACGAATTACAGGTCGTTTTTCTGTCTTTCTCTTTTCCGTACCTGTTAAAAAACGGATTTATGTTTTTGTTTTTCGTTTTCTTATAGAATTTTGAAAACGGAGTACAAGTCGTTTTTGGGTTCCATTTTCGGTGTATAGCATTGAACCTGACAATATTTGTTTAAGAGAGAATATCTAAGAAACTAAGATGGCGGCGTTGGAAGATGTCATAGATAAAGACTTTTTGTCCGCCGGTTTCTTATCGAACAGAAAGATACTCATGAAGAGCTTGTCACTGAAACCAAGGCTCGATATCCGCATTCAAAGGGTTGTAGTTTGAAATGAAAACTAACAAGAAATGGCGATGTGCTAGATAAAGGCACAAGTTATAAAATGCTTCTTAAGAATAGTACAATTTGGAGGGAGAAAACGCGATTCTGGCCTGCCACTGCGATTACGATCTGATAATCTGTACAGAAAGTTTTAGATAACTTTAAAGTTTGCAACCTTAGTAGCAGTTTTGATATTTATGGAGGTTTTTCAGTGGAATAAAGGTCAGTTGTAGAATTTCATCTGGTGAAATTTATTTCGGTTATGAGGATTTAACTTTAGACTCTTAAATAACATTATTGGACCACATCACAACAGAAGCGGCAAAATCACAAGACGACAGCATGGAGCCGTATGCACTGATAAAAACACAGTCCAGCTCCTTTGTTTACTCGCAGTACACTATTTTCCTTCAACCAAATTTGTCTCTTCTGCCTCAGCTTGAATTAAAGTTTTCTTTGAGTCCTCGTTAAAATTTAAAGAGAGAGCTTCAAACGCTTAAACTTGGCGAAAACTATCTAATAAAAGCTGAAATCTCAGACTGCAAACGGAATTGCTATTAATCTTGAGTGCTTATTCACTTTGCAAGTGGTTTTTGTTCTCATCAGTCAACAAGATTTTCTATAAATATCTGAAACTCCAGTTAGTTTGCCGCTTGTTCTTGTCGGCGGGCAGTTTTGGCGATACTAGCCGAAATTTTCTGAAGTTCTTTCACTAAAAACCACGCAGCGAAAGAAAAAGGCTTAAAACGCGGGAGCAACCAGTTACTTAAACTGCATTTTAAATCAAATATTTGATAATGATAGAAATAAAATTTCTCTCGTTGTTTTTGGCGAACAAGGGGTCCTCGTCGCGTCCTCCAAACCAAAGGCATATAACGAATTAAAATCTGGGAAAACGCCCCGCTTGGCGCTATTTGACAGGACGGGATAAGGGTTTCAGTTTTCTATGGGTATACAGGCAAAGAAACATTAGATTTTTGACCAATCAGAGTGCGTGTTGTGTCAAAGTTATGTCACGAAAAGGGGTAAGTCACACCACCAATTGTGATTACCCACCTTCATATAGAGTCTTTAGTGTCTTGACAGCAGGATCTCCCTCGAATACAACATTTCTGGAAAACACTTTCACCGTATAACTGGTATCTCTCTCCAAACCCCTAAACGAATAAGCCTTTGTAAGAGGATTAGTAATATTAACACTGCCTATCTCAGTGTCACCCTTTAGTATGGTCACTCGGAATGCTATGATAGGACTCCCTCCATCATAAGCAGGTGCAGTCCATTGTATTGTTAGAAACGTCGCTTGAATGATGGATTCGATGGATGGCTGCCCTGGTTTCTCTAAATTTAACAGTAAAAAAGAAAATTATAAGTAAATATATTTTGTTGCCAATTAATATAACGTAGCAGGAAACGTTTTGTGTTTATTATCTCATGGTGAATTCTGTAGCTGTCGTTACCGTAACATCACATTTCCTTTTACCATCACAGCTTAGTAAATACATATGTAGCAAACTGATAAATTAAGCCAAGGAACCCAATAACCAAATGAAAAATCTGGTTTCTATCGTAGAAAAAGTTTTTTAAGACATTCACGTGGAAGTAAATCATCAATTTGTCAGAATTTCAATGTATTCTGATAATATTGTAAGTCTATGTTAAAGAAAAAGAACACAGAAACGTGTTAATAATTTACTGTGAGTCGTTATTTAAACATGCGCATATTTACCACTAAAGGATAAAGTAACCTTAAGGCTTGCATTACTTAATAGGCAAATTTGATCTTAATTTTTACGTAGGCACAGATAACAGCTCACACTAAACATAGGAACAAGCATTTAAAGATATTTATCTTAAAGTATTCTCCTTATAACAAAAATAACTCGATCTTCTGGACTCACTTATCTGATTTATCTTTGTTACTCTCTCATCAGAAGGAGGAAGTCCATTGGCAGCAACGCAAATGTAATCACCAAAATCTCTATCGTTCCGGAGTGTCACCTGTATTTTGTTTCCTCTGCCTCTGAGTCTGTTTATTTCACTTATATTATGTTTGTACCAGGTGAGTGTTGGTGTTGGAACACCATCTGAATGACACTCTAAAGTCACGGTCTGATCAATCCAAGAATTACTGGATGAAGGGGTGACACTTTGAATTGTTGGCGGGTCTGAGAGTAAATGTGAAATAAAAAATAATTGTGTTGATAAAAGGTGATAATTTACATGATCAGGGTATTTATGAGCTACTCAACTGACTGATCTGAAAAAAAAACTTGTTACTTTTACCGAGCTAGCGTAAAACCTTAAAAAAAATAATCCAAGTTTTCAATTAAGTTTTGGAAGAGGGGCACTAAATAAATATAATAAACGAGGGATATTGTAGTAAAAATCAAGTTATCTCTGGTGGTTACTTAAAGGGAAGAAAACACGAAATAACACTTTTCATCATATGACCCTTACAACCCTGCTCACACAATACTATAGAAAAAGCCAGCTGCATTTTGCAAGACCGTGCATAAATTTCTACTTTTATTTAGAGTAACGAAGTATTGAACCTTTTGCTAGTTGTTTGACAACTCCATTCCTCATTTACTGGGAAAGTAGACAGCCACCAAAACGCAGCATTTGAAATGCGAAAAACACTGATCCTAAGAATTTAACCTGAAGCACCCAACACAAGCTACGCCAAAAATTAGAATGAATTAAAAAAAAAAACACACACATAATCATACAAATCAAGTCACAAAACACAGAGACAAATACGCAATCTTGGGTTGGCCTAGGTCGCACTTCAGCTTTTTTTTGTTTGTTTCAGCGAAAATCTGTCAACAAGTAGCGTAAGTAGCGTAAAATGGGTGCGACCCCTGACTCGCCAAAATTTGCCAAATCTTCATAGGGGCCGATGTCCTGCCTCGGCAACTTCCAAATTTTGGAAAAACAAACAATCTTGTTTTTTCAATTTGAAAAATTACCTGGCGTTTTTGAGGTGTAATTCATGAATGCTTCGAATACGTGAAATGACACTTTCCTGACTGGACATACACTTCGAAAATGTTGCGGCCACAGAGTGAATGCAGCATGTTTCTGAATGCTTGGTGTGAAATCTTTGATATTTTTTCAGTTTTCAAGGACGTTCGCGATTCGATTTACACAGCACGTCTTGCGGAAAAACTTATCGTGTCTCGTAATTCTTACCTAGACATCGGTGACAAAGGTTGGTGTGACCTTTTGAGTATGGGCCTAGGGCCTGGAGAAATTGAAACCTACGCTAACTCTACCACGAGTGAACTTGGGCAAAATCTCCCTCGCCAATATCCCATCAAAACAAGTTTGATGAAAACAGTAGGAGATACTGGGATTCTCTTTTGGCAAAATACAGATTTCGATTTCACAAATTAAAGATTTTCATTTCGTTAATTGAAGATTTCCATTTCGCAAATTACATATTTTAATTTCGCAAATTACAGATATTCATTTTGTTCGGTTTTTTTTTTGGCAAATTATGGTAAGCCTCTAATATTGTGACGCCCCAGAAAAGATAGGGCTGTCGTCGCGAATTATACCCAAATTGTATCTACCTTTGTTTTATTTTACGGAAATCCTCGTTTTGAAATCTGTGCGTTTAATTCGTACCAAAATTTACAAAAACTGATCTCGTGTAAAACTGTACATGCTATTGTTTAAATATTTGCAAAACTGTTCCACGGTAGTCACAATTTGTCTTAGTTCTGCCTCTGATTGGTTAAGAAACTCTCCCCAGCAAAACAATCACGTAATTAAGGCTGATAGTTTCGAAAGAAACTGTTTGGGGCTGCGTCGGTGGGAGTAACGAAATAATTTGGATATATCAACAAAGTTGAAATGGTAAATTGGCCACCGTAATGATTACAAAAGCTGACGTTTCGAGCGTTAGCCCTTCGTCGGAGCGAATAGAGGAATTGTGGGTTGTGTGTGCTTTTAAAGGCAGAAAATGGAGCTACGTTATTGGTGGGTGCATGGCAACGAGAAAAACATGAATAAATTAGTGGAATGAAAAGCGTTCATTGATCCCTGTGGGATTTAGACTGCCGGTTTGAAAGATGAGCTTTTGTTCAAGATTTTTACGGCTTTCCGTGCCACCTAAGTGCAAGGAAAGACCGCAGATTGCCATATGTTGCTTAGAATGATTAGCGGGTTACCACTGCGCTCAACTTATTGATCGACATTCAGCACTACAAACGTCGCATAAGGAAGATTCCGACCGCATTCTATTCACTCTCACGTTTCACCCTCACAACCACTCAGTTAAATCCATCATTCTTAAAAACTTCAAATTACTTCAAAACGATCCAGAGACAAGCAC